GCACTTTGCGCGACCTTTAAATATTTTTTGATTTAAAAATAAAAAAATAGGGATATATTTTTTCGGTATAGAACAATCCCAGGGGGTGCGATCATAAAGATTCCGACTTTACTTTTTCACATGCACTTTAGGACCACCCTAATGTAGATAGTATGTTTACGTGCATGGTAGGTCATTGTTGAGTCTACGAACTAGAACTCTTGTTAATCGACTAGTCGTGATAAGCACGTGAACTTTGGAATAGTGTTGGCCAGCGAAAACTTTTATTTTGTCTTTCCCCTACGTAATTCGCTAACATTTTTTACAGGATATTTTCTCTCCACGCAATATTTACTCTACATCGTAGATGGGCAAACGGCCTCGGCAAACTCATACATATTTATGTACATACCTGTCAGCGTCAAAAATGTACATAGCCCGACGTTTTGACGATTTTATTTATTTATATTTTCCGTGCCTAATTTATCTTATATTTTTACAAAAATATTGTTCAATCAACAGCGAAAACCAACAGAATCATTTTTTTTTTTTTTTTCAATTATTTCATACAGAACTCGGGAAAAATGCAAGTAATACCAAACAATTGTCCGAGAACTCTCCAATTTTTCAATTCGATTTCTTGGTATGCAATATAATAGAGTGTAAGTTTCAGGTCGCTAAAATTACTGCTGATTTGAAAAAAAAAAAATTTCGCTGCGGGTGTTCTATGGGAGAAAATGCAAAGTGGAAAATTCTGCCACCTTTTGTTTCTTCGCTAGAGTTTCACAAATATTGCAAAAAACGCGATTTTTTGACACTTTGACCTCGTTTTTCTCAACATCTGGACCAGATTGAGACTTTATATTTACGAATTCGTAATCAGCACAAAAAAGACTGTCAAAAAAGGTAGTAACAGTTAATGAACAATAAAAAATATTGGAAAAAATATTTTGTTAAAATCAGTTTTTGCTGTTAAATAAATGACTAAAGTGACCTTTGGGTTAAGATGCAGGGATGTTTTTTTTTTCAGGGACAATAGTCGAGAGTTGTGGCTTTAATTTAAGTGGAAGGTTCTATAACACTTTGAGTTTTTAAAAAATATCGTTGTATGGATATTGGCGGATTTGGTTTATATTAGCACCTTATATAAATATTCACTAAAGAAGCTTGTGCTCCAAATTTGAAGCTTCTAGGTTTTTCGTGGTTCCTACTACTGTGCGACTCAAGAAACAATCCCCAAAAATCCCCTTATTTTTTATTTTTTTTTTTTGTAACAGCCTAAAATTCGGATTTCTTTAAATTGCATAGATTTTCAAGGTTAAGCCGTAGATTAATATGCATCAGTTGAGGATTCTCTAAATTTCGGGATCGATTCACGGATCAAATAGGAACTCAAAATCGAATCGAAAGGGCACGATTAATCGATCTTCTATTAATCAATTTACCGGCCGGCAGCAAAATTGCGGAAAACTGCATGTCTGATGGATTGGCAGGGCTCTGACCTCCGGTGGTTTACTCTTGGACAGTTGGATCTCATGTTAGCTGAGCGAACGATTGGTGAAAATTAGGACATACGAAAATTGCAAGATTCTAGTCACACGCTGGGAAAGCCTCATCTCTCGCTGTTGATGGAAGGATGGAAATGAGCGATGAACTATTAACTAAAATGGAACGGTGTAAAATATATTGACAATTTTTCGGGCCGTTATTGAAGAAAAAAAGACTGATGAGCTTTTGAACTTAAACAAAAAGTATGTTCACTTGAAAAACTAGCCGAGGTTATGTGAAGTTCATACGACAAGAAACCTACTGATTTCTTTCTATCAACAAGAAGAACAGACTCGAATCTTCTAGTAGGATGAATAGCATTGTTTGCCAACAGCATAAAAAGTGTAAGAAATGTAACGATCACAAGGAAACCGTGGAGCATATAATTTCCGAGTTTCCAGCCTTCAGCAGGCAAAGACTCCTGTTGCAAGGCCTGCAGTCAGAAACCGTCAAAGGATCAAAGTGTCTACTGAAATTCGGTAAGGGAGCGGCGGTGTTCTTTAACAATGCGTGAAAGCACTGTTTTATGGGTCGTAAACGTGTCTGGCGAGGCAAAGGACGTTATATTCGTCTGTGTGAGACTTCATAAGGTCAGGCAACATAACCTAACCTAATGTAAGGGTTCTTACGGGCATAATCCAAAAAACACTGTGCTATTCACCAAAGCTGCAGCGAAATCATATACCAATAAGTTCTGTCACTTCAGAAGTTATTGCGTTGAAGAGGGGCATAAATCGAGACACCCAAATTCTATATCAATACTCAGATCTTCAGTCGCAATCATTCATGCATTTGGAGTATTGCTTCTACCACCAGCCTGCCGGAGACAACAGGAGATTCATGCCTTATTTTAGACCTCAGCTAAAGACTTTTCAAGGAGAGATCTAACCATAATCGGTTCCACGTTACCAATCGGCCGACCAAGGACCATCACTCACCACAATCTGAAACACCAGCGCTTGGCATTCGCGAGCGCTGACCAAACTCAAAGCCATTGAAATAAAAATCCCATTAGCATTTGTTTATTTAATTATAATATTTTTTATTTAATTTCTACCAAATTTCTATGCATGTATAATTGTATACATTTATTATGTACATATGTATGTATGTAGGTACATAAACGAATCCGCAATAAACACTGTAATTAGTGTTGTTATTATTACCGCAGGTTTCCCTTCAAACTTTTTCTATTTCTTTTGTATACATTTGCTGTGCAGATTTTGTGGTATATTTTTTTTTTTAGCAATTTTTATTAATTTCTGTGCTAATATACAAAAATACATAAATATGTATGTATGTAAAAGTTTTTGGTACTGTATGTATGTATATAGCCTTGAGTTAAGCATAAAACAAAAAAAAAACAAAAAACAAATAATATTTAATTAAATTTATATTTATATATATGTATATTTCCAATAAAAATTCTGTGTTTACAAATGTAATGTTACATCAATTGGCATTTCCTATTTAAGATTTTCGCAGGAAACTCAACAAGTATCGCTACTTAACTATGTAAATATGTACGTATAAATATGTATGTGTACGTATGCACACATATAATTTAAGAATACTAAACGAAGGGTTTTAATAGTTAATATAATTTTTCTTTAGGCTTTTCGTCTAGTAATTTTTAAGTATTTCGGTCTGTATTTTCTACTAGGAATAGTTTTTATGCCTAAAACTTTGGTTAAATGCCTGAGCTGTTTAGTAATTTTTTAACACTTCACGAACACAGGCGGCTCTTTTTCGGCTGTTTTGCCTATATCTATGTACAAATTCTGAATATCGATGGCTGCGTGGAAGGTCGACCTATCTCGGCAGCCAGTTCGAAAACGCTCTATCTCAAAAAACTTTTCAAGAATTCGTTTCAAAAACGCCCTATCTCAGCTGCCGATTCAAAAAGGCCCCATATCAGCATATTTTCAATACATTTTGAAGTGAGATAGGGCATTTTTGAAGCGAATTTGAGATAAGGTGTTTTTCAATTAAATTCTGAAATAGGGCGTTCTTGAAAAGTTTTTTGAGATAGAGCGTTTTCAAACTGGCTGCCGAGATAGGTCGATCTTCCACTCAGCCATCGATATGTACATACAACTATTGTATAAAAATATCAATTTTTACTACATTTATAGGTCACTTTTGCGAATCGACATGCTTTTATGTACTAGCTTTTTACTAATTTTGTTTTACACGATTTTTTTTTAACACTTTTACTTTTACTTTTTACCTTACTTTTACTTTTACTTGACAAGAGCCCGTATTTGGATATTACTAGCCAAATTTTTCTTTTATTTATTTATAGATTTTTCTCCTAAATATTTTTACAACTTACTATTTATCCTACTTGTATAGGTGGTTACATTTTTTTAGCATCATCGTCTTGTTTGCATTTGGAGTATAAGCTTAAACGGCCAAACAAAATTTTTTTGACGAACCTTCAAATAGTTTTCAAAAAATAAAAAAAAAAATAATAAATTTAAGTTGTGATAAACTTAAGTTTTGAAAAATTAAAGCTTTGACAAAAATTAGTTTTGAAAATATCAAGGTTTTGAAAAAAATTAAAAATTAAAAAAAAAATTATTAAAATGTTTTGAAAAACATGTAAAAGTTTTGAGATACTAAAAAGAAGAATTATGTATTTTTCTTTTAAATTATTTTATCGAAAAAACATACATAATAAGAAAATATAATATTTTGTTATTTTCTTGACTTGCTTAGCTAAATTATAGCAGAAAATACTAAAACATTTATTTCGTAGCAGAAAACTTGCACTAAAAACAAAAACAAATAAAAAAAAAAAATATTTAAATCAAAAGAAAATTGAAAAATTCAAAAAAGTAAAATTAAAAAAAAATAAATGTTAAATAAAATAAAAAATTCAACTGCAGCTTTTTATACATTCCAAATATGTAGTACCAAGCGTACAGAATTTATAAGGAATCGCAGCCATAGTATGCAAGTAAAATTTTATTATTGTTTCCATTTTTTAGTACCTCAGTGAAAATATACCAGAAAATACCTAAAAATTTTTTTTTTTTTTGTAAATGTCTGATTATGGAAAAGTTTTTAATGATCACAAATTTTTAGAAAACATATTTTTGGGCAAAAATTAAAAAAAAAATATAAAGTTTCACATCAAAATTAACAATTAACTATTGAAAAATCATAACTTAAAAAATTCAGTCTCTAATTTTGTATCTTATATGTATGCGAGCGAATGGACCTGAAAGGGTTAATACATAAAATAAGAGCTACTCTCCCCCTAACAAAATTATGCGCAATTTTAAAAATTTTAAATTGTTTTCGATACTTTCACTTATGATTTAGCTATTTGCATAAAAAGTGTTTAGAAAGTACTATATTTTCAAACATTTGGTGTAGTAGTAAAAAATAAAAAATAAAATAAATAGAAATAAAAAAATTAAAATTAAAAAAACTATTTATATATGTAAATGAAAATAAATAAATAAATGCAAAAATAAAACCTAATAACAAAATAAACAAAAACAAAATTTATTAAAATGTATTAAAATATATTCAATGTGTCTGTCATAAATAGTAATCCTTTTCAACTTTAATTTTAGAACCCCAGAGGTGCATTTTTTTTTACTCAAATCTTTGTATTGGTCGTTTAAACCTAAAATATACCACATACATACATACACACATACTTAGTAGCTACGTGCACATTTTTTTCTAAATCTACGCAACTAATTTACAGTGAAAACTTGTACATGGAATTAAAATTCGAAATTAGATAATGCATTATTTTCGACGCTTGAAAGTGAAACATTTTTTGTATGCTATAGTTGCCTACATTTGTATATTTTCTGAGTTGTTTTTCATTAAATCGTATAAGTGTTGTATATCAGTTGGCGCATTACGCGAATACGATTCACTTTCATCTCCCTCTCTCTCTCTCTTTCGTGTAATCTTATACAATAAATTCTTGTGTGCAGAGTTGATACTCGATTATGACTTATTGTCGATATGACCTGTATTGAATTGCTCGCCTCTACCAACATCCTCTTTTCACCTCTTCGTTTTCGTGATGATCACCTACTACATATATACATACACACATATGTACATACATATGTCGGCGTAATCATTGATGTCTTATGCCGCCGCGTAGTAGTACTCCAGAACTGTTGCCCTTAGAGTTGCATTAGCCGCTACTCCGCTACTCAACGCTGTTTGCCGCAAGCAAGCAAACGCATTCAATAACTTAAACCAAATTTTTAATGCGCGCTTCTCGTATCCTTCCACGCGCCTACTACTTCCTAATTAGCCACCTCGAGTGCAGCTAGACTTTCTATCTCCGAATCGAAATTGCTGTCGCACGTCGATAGCCATTCGATGACACGCCTGCGCACCACTGTCTGATCGATGGAATTATCCAAGCCATAACTGGACATCATACGCTTCAACTTCAGCTTATTGTCATCGCCCGATAACCGTCCCTCGCGCTTATTCAAGTAGATGCACGAATCCTGATCGGGATTTGGTGAAATGAGCAAAGCTGATTTCGACGTCGCTATACGGCATTCGACCCAGCGATCCTTCATGTATTTCGTGACCTCGGTTACTTTGCAACGATCCTCCGGATCTTGTGTTAAATACTTGCGGAAGCAACGCATTAGACGCGGCGAGAAACGTCGGAAGTTGTCGGGTATTTTTGTCGTCTTGCGCTGTTCGTACTTCATGAAGCTCGCATATTGTGTATCTTTCACCCAATCGGCCATGTTCCACGGCGGACTGCCCGTCAATATGTTGTACAACAAAATGCCAAATTGCCACGAATCGCTGGATGGCATGCAGATGAAGCGTTCATTTTTGACAATCTCATGCACCTCGGGCGGCACGCAACTAGTCCATGTGTGCTTCACCTTATGCACCAGCAGTCCCTTCTTCGTGGTCGTACCAAAGTCGCACAGCTTGACGCGCGAGAAATCCGGCGCAAAGACCAACACATTCTCCAGCTTGAGATCGCGATGCACCAAATTCTTCGAATGCATGAAACCGAGCGCGGAACTTAGCTGCTCGCTAATGGTCTTGCAAGCGGACTCGTGCAAGCCATGCGGTCCGATATTGGCCGCCAAATCGCCATACGGCGCATGTTCCATAGCAAACACATAGTAGTCCTTGGTCTGGAAGGCCACATTGTAGGCGCTAAGTATGTTACGATGATGTGAGAGCTGATAGTTGAGATGAAACTCTTTTTGGAAATCCTTCAGTGTGGCCAATTCAGCATGCACCGCCTTCAGTACGACTGTCGTATTCGTGGGCCGATGATGAGTGAGTAGTATACGCGCAAAGCAGCCCTCCGCCAAAGTCTTTTCGATATCGTACTGATCGGAGAAAGCCATTAATGGTAATTCAATGTCCGGTACAATGTGTATGACGCCGCTATCATCCTTGTCCGGCTTCTTGTAGATGCTGCTGCGTCGACTTACCGACGCACTGGAATTGGGCACCTCCAGTTTGGCGCTGGTTACAGGTGACAACAACGAATTGTTGTTGGTGCAAGTGCTGCTATTGTTATTGCTATTCTTGCTGTGCGTGCTGCCGCCATCGCCGATCGAACGCCGCAATCGGAAGGAGAATGAGCGTTTCTCTGCAAGGGGAAAAAGAAGAAGAAAGAGGAGCAAATTAATATACGTAAATCAACGGAAAATTAGCGGAAATTTTTGCGCGAGAAAGGAAGGTTGCGAAAATCATTTATATTTCTACTATATATAAATAATGAAAATTTATACTAACACTAACTTACGTATACAATTTTTTATTCTCTATGAAAATTTTCCTAGCCGTTGTTTGAATATAATACATAAGTAAATATAATTTCGCACAACTGAGCAATATTTTTTAACCAAGATGACGGAGAACAAAATGATTTATGAAGTGCATAAAAAATATTCGGTGTAGACAAATTAATTGCGTAATTACATAACAAAAAAAAAAAAAAAAAAATTTATAAAAACGTTTACTATCAAATGAATACAAAACAAAATAATAAAAAAACTTCAAAAGATAGAAATATTCAAAAAATTAAAAATTCAACATATAAAAAAAAAACAAAATTTAAAAAATTAAACATACAAGATAAAAAATAAATAAAATATGACAAAGCAAAGGAAAATAAAAAATAAAATGGAAAATAGTATAAAATGAAATAAAACAAAATAAAAATATTAAATGATACAAACTAAATACAAAGAAAAAAAATTTAAAAAAAACTGCGCAAAATTATTTCACGACGTTGTCGAAGAACGAAATGATTGATGAAGTGCATTAAAAGCGTGGACAAATTAATCGATAAGTTTTTATGAACATAGTAGGAGTGTACATGAAAAATATTTATTGGTAAAATAACGTAAATTGGAGAAAAATATTTATTTTTCAAATGAAATATAATAAAAATAAAAATATAAAAATTCAAAAATTAAAGGCACAAATTAAATAAAAAAAAACAATAAATAAAAAATACAAATCTATACATTTATTTGCATAAAAGAATTGTAGTAGGCCAATGTCTGTACATTATAGATATTAAAGAAAGATTAATATAGGGGGTGGGTCTTTATTGGAGCCAGTTTTTTGAATTTTTGTCTGTTTGTCTGTATGTTTGTACGCGCATCACTCATTTTTTTGTTAGATGTCTAACTTAAAATATAGAAAAAAATTTGAGAGTGGCCACCTGTTTGTAAATTCCAGTTTAAGTAAATTGCTGAATTATGGAAAATTATGGTCGAAAGAAGAAGGTTTAAGAAGGCTTACAGCGCAAAATATTTTTGTGGAAGGTGGCCAGATGTTTGAAAATTGTAATTTAATTGATAAGATAAATTAAATATTGGAATATGGGTATCAAACTAAAAAGGGTTTGGGAAAGTTTACTGCCGAAAATATTTTTGAGGAGGGTTGCCACCTGTTATTTAATGAATTTGATAAAATAAGTGAAATATTACAAATAATGTTGAATTATGGCTGTCAAAAGAAAGGGGTTTAAGAAGGCTTTCAGCCGAAAATATTTTTGTGGAAGGTGGCCAGATGTTTGAAAAAACTTAAGTTAATTGATAATATAAATTAAATACCTCAATATGAGTTTCAAACTAATGAGGTTCAAGAAAGTTTACTATCGAAAATATTTTTGAAGCGGGTTGCAACCTATTTGAAAAATGTATATGAAATAAGACGAAAGTAGAAAGCCATGTGAATTTTACTTGGATATAATAATAGGTGCCCACGACGTCCGCGGTACACATTTGAAAAACATCGGGATATGCAAGTTCGGAACCTAAAAAAAAAGAATGTGGGGATGGTTTGGATCGGGATTGAAAATTCCATGATTGACGTAGCATTTTTAGGCGCCACGGCTTATTTTACCCGAGCAGTACTACTTGCACAAAATTGGCAGCCACTTATATCAAGCCAACTAATTAAATGTTTATGTACAAATAATTAAGTGCGAATTTCTATCAGGCAAGCCTTCAAATTTCTATTTTTCAACCAACTGTGATGCGTGGTTTGTTTGTTGATTTTTCTTTATTTCATTTAAAAAAAAAAAATCGTATGCACATGTTGGAATGCTATCTTTTGCAAACAAAGCTTTTATTTTTAGCAACAATTAACAATTGTGTTTTATAAGTAATATGCAATAATGTAAGCTCTACAGTAGATGCATACAAACTTTGCTATAATTTGCGCAATTTCGCTTATTTTCATAATGCATAGTAAGTCTGTGGTGGCAAATTTATTTCCGTGTTGTTGTTAAATTGTTTTTGAAAAGCCACTCGAATGCTGAAGTTTATTTTGAAATGAAATGATTTGCAATAAATTGTTTTGCGCGTCGAAGAGCTAATTCCAGATACTTGCGAAAAAGTGGGAGATCTATGTTATAAATGGAGATACATTAGGGAGTACAGCGAAGCATTAACCTGCAGAAGTTTGGTAGAATTTAATTAATTACAACTAAACTCATTTCATTTATCATCAAAAACTAGCGTTTAAAATTGATTAATCGCTTGCAATTGATGAAATTTCAAAGCAAATTTGAGGTTAAATGAGAAATTGATTAACACAAATTTCGTAGTGGGTGGCATCATGAGTCTAATGAAACATTTTAGCTAATTTTCTCAATTAAGTAAAAGAAGAATCAGGGTTTTATACAAAAGGTGATAATAATACAAAAAAAAACTAAAGTGAACAACACGTTACGTTATGTTCAGGCTGCCAGTTAAATTGAGAAATTGGAATTTTCATCAATCAAGATTTATACCATTTTCGGACTGTTAGGCAAAAAGGGAATCAAGAGCTCCCATAAATTAAGATTCTACAGCTCTCAGACTGCAAATTAAATTGAGAAATTAGGACCTCAATCAGTTTAGGTGCCAATTTAACGATAGTTACCCTTCGGTTAAGGCCATTTTTAGAATAGTGTAATTTGTAGTTATGAAATTGCAATTAATGCAACCGTGTTGGGTTTTTTGTTTTTCATTTTTTCTTTAACAACCACCATTGGCAGTAGGGGAGAAAGGGCTAGCGAACTCTTAAATATAAGGTCTTATATTGCATACTGAAAGAATCCAACCATAAAGGTCCAAAAAAAAATTGTGAACTTGTGAATAATATGTATTAGGAGTTTTTAACATATTTTTATTTGTTTTGGAACTGCTTGAAGTCTGTATAAATCAAATACTTCCATAGCATTACCAGGAGTTATGAACATAAACTTCTATATGAAACTCCGAAAGTAATTATATTAAACATTCTAGTGCTGGAGTTGAGCGAATTGTAGTAGGCTTATCGGCCTTTACTGCTGACCTCTTTTAGGCAACGCAGCTGTCGGACATGCAAAAATTATCAGAGGTCTCGTAGGAATTTTTGCTAATCGTACGACGTGACGTTAAATGAGACCAGCTTCTACGCAGTGCGCAGTCTCATTGATGTTCAACTAACGGAGTTTTTGAAGTGAAACTTCTTTAGCGGTGGTTGGTTGGTTGGGAGTAAATTGGCAAATTGAACGGAAATGATGCAACGGAAATGGTTGGGTCTAAAACGAGTGCTTCTTGTGTGTATGCCAATGGTATTAATTTAACAAAAAATTGCTAATAAAACTTAGAACACTAATAACACTTAGAAAGCACCAATACAAGAATGAATAAAAGGTGACTACGTAATAGGTGAAGAAAAGGGCAAAGGCAAAGGTAAAAATAAAAACAAAAACAATGATGCATAAATATAAAGGCAAAAATGATGGCCAAGGTAAATTTAAACACTTTACTTACATATATAAGGGCAAAGGTGTAGCGGAATATGTAGATGAAGAAAATGATAAACATAAAAGCAAAGACAAAGAGGAGGATGAGGATACCGATAAAAGTAAAGATGAAGATAGGGGAAAAAAGATTAAAATAAAGGCAATTAAAGAGGAAAGGATATAGAGAGAGACACGGAAAGTTAATCTGGGAACTATTATGGGATTTTAGAGATTCTCGGGACTTATCGATAAAATAATCGATATTTTTATCGGTTTTGTTATCGATATTTTTATCGATTTTTTTATCGAAACTTTTATCGATATTGTTATCAATTTTGCTATCGATATTTTCGGTGCTTATCGATATAATAATCGATATTTTTATCGATTTTGCGAAATTTTTTAGCGATTTTGTTATCGATATTTTTATCGATTTTGTTATTACTATTTATCGATTTCGTTATTGATATTTATCGATTTTTTATCGATGATAATCGGTTTTGTCGATATTTATCGATTTTGTTATGGTTTTTTTATCGATTTTGTTATCGGTATTTTTATGGATATCGACAAAAAATATTTGCTTAAGGTTATGGCAGATGTATGTATGTATGTACATATGTATGTATGTACATATGTATGTATATACATACATATATTGGTTATGAGACAAAATAGATATGTATGTAACGTAAGTTTCACTTCTCCAGTGTGGCCCAGGCGCACTCACTTTTTTTTCAAAAGAATAGATAACCTTTTTGGACTGTTCACAACCGGAGCTCGACTTAGTGAGGCCTAATAAAATTCTACTCAGTCAGCACTATAAAAAAACTATACTGAGAAAAATTTTCCAGCAAGTGGATGCGTTTAAACTTTAAAGCAATTGCAAGCTAGCGGCTTTTCGCCAAAGTAGTACTGAAACAGCGATAATACTCAGCTGGATGCACTGCAGGATCGAGGTTAACGAAGTCAGGCTGTCCAGTAAAGGATCCGCAAGTGTCTTTGAGAAACCGGAACCATTTTGTAAACTCATTCGGTCTTCTTCGAGGCATTTATATCATTAGTGTGAGGGTAAACTCATAACACAGTAGGCACCCGAAAGCAGTAGAGAGCGTTAGACAGGCCGTGTTATTTGGTAATCTTTTCGATAGGAAAGGCGCTAAACTCTTGAATAGCGTAGATATGAAGTTATAGACATCAAAGCACATTCGGCATAATTTTTCAAACCTTGGAGCTGAAAAAAAATTGATACATTTCACTTTATCTTTAGTCGGAACTCTTAGATTATACCTCCACAAAAGCCTAATCTAGCATCTATCGCTTTCGGGCTTTCAGCACTCTATACAGCCATAACGCCT